AATAAACTCTAAACTTGAAAACATGCATTTTCTATAACTTCCACAAAACTGAACTAGCATCACCAAAATATTGGTCACTTATAAAACCTGCCATCCCATATACTATGTACTTAAAGGTGATTTGAAAGCAAATGCCTGATCAGATAACTTAAAATATGACTGTGCAGTGACAGTTCTAATTAGAATAAAATCAGAATACTTAAATGTATTTACAATAAATTTTTAAATCAACATACAGTCTCCAACCTGAGAAATGAAGAGAAATGAAGTTAATTTATTACAGAGATTTTTTTCTTTTAATTGATTTCTTACATGTTTGTTAATTTTGGGATAGTATTTGATTTCTCTCATGTGGTATCGTCTTTGCAGTTTTACCAACAGAGCCTCCATGATGCATCACAGTCTGTTGTGTTTTTCGCCCTTGTTTTGGCCCCTCTCCTTCGAGCTCTCTTGCTGTATGCCTCAGATCTGTTACATAGATATCTTGATTCTCCAAATATAGTTCCTCCTAGAAAGCAGTATCACAGTGATGGTTCAGTTACTAGGTTAGTCCTAAGAGACTCTTTGGCATGATACAGTTGAACTTTATAATATAACTAGTGGTTATAGTCCTTTCTGAACCAGTGAGTGGAGGGATTTGGGAGCAGAGAGTTTATACTTTGGAATCATCAGTGTCTGAGTGTGATGAAGACAGGATGTTATCAGTGAAGGAGACTCTGGCAGAAATAGCTTGCTTATGAAGAGACAAGTAATGCATCTGAGACTGGGGTACAGTGATTGTATAGTTTGTAATTCTGCAATGGATGATGAATGTACCTTAAAATACTTGAACTTGACATATACTTTTTGAAAGGTTTATCACAGTAAATATATCTCTTTAGGCAAACATGCAGTTTATTAAAGTGGTTCTGTTACCATGGAAACATATCCAGAATTTATAGCTCCTTATTTTGAGAGTGTTTCATTTCTACTTTCTGAGACACTGAAATCAAGGCTAAAGTTCTTAACAACCTCCAGTCTCATTGTATGATGAACTTCTATTGTCTGGGAAATTTAGACAAAAGATAGCTTGAGGAATCAATCTTGTGACATTATAGCTCTATGCATAATTTTTTTTTCTATGCATAAATTTTAAATAGAAATTTTTCTATTTTAAAATGCCCGTTTTAAATTTTTTATTATTACCAGAGCTATCTATGATCATATTTTAATGAGAACTGCCATTTTCAAATATAATAGTCCCTTACACATGTTCCCCAGAGGCAACCACTTTCTATTCTTTAGCTCTTCAATTCCCTCAGCCACATATTTATATTGGTTCTTAGTTTGTTTTGCTGCTTTACTTTGTAATTTTAACTGTCATAAGTTGAATGTCTGCACATAAGTCTTTATTCTTTTACCAAATTTTTAATTTCACTAGGTATAAATTCTTAGAAATAATTTTCTCTCAGATTTTCTACTATTGATGCTGAGAAAAGCAGTGTACTTCATAGTTTTTATCCTATTTCAATTCTTTGAAATCTTTCTTCTCTGGAAGCTTATAGAATCGTATATTTGTCCTCAGCATTCTAAAATTCCACAATGATACCTCTGTTCTGGCTCCATTTGCACATGTTGTGTAGCGTTCTCAGTGGGCTTTTCACATTTTTCCTTTTGGAAACTTATGGCCTTAAGTTCTCTTAAACTTATTCCTGTAATTTTTCCTTTTCTCTGTTAATCTCTAGACATTTTATTATTTAAATAAGCCCTTGTGGCCTGGTCCTCTGATTTTCTTATATACTATCTTTTTTTTATATTTACTCTATTATTTTCCATCTACTTTCTAGAGTAAGTGGTAAATTTTGAATTTCTGCTATTCTGTTTTTAATTTCCAAGAATATATCCCATGTCTTTATTTTTTTATTTTTTGCAGTATCCTATTCTTGTTATACAAATTTCTTCTCGCTTTCTTCCCTCTATGTCACTGATCTGTACACATGCAGTGCTTTCTACAAATGCCTGATGAATCTCAATTATATTTATGAATAAGATAATAAGCATCAACTGAAATTTTATACAATTAGAACTTATAGATTGTGACCTTCCTTAAAAGTGACCTGGGCTCCTACCTGGTGGCCCAGCGGGTTAAAGCATAGCACTAAGAAGCTAAAGCCACCTCCACATGAGTTCAATCCCTGCCTGCCCAGCAGGTGATCCACATGGCTTGGCAGACCTCTCCTGACCCGCCCCCTGCTCCTCTCAGCAGCGTACTTCAATGATATGCCTGTTCTTCTCCCCACTCTGGTGAATCCTCTTACTGCGCCTGCACCTCTGGCTTGTACCCCAGTTCTGTATGCACAAATAAATAAATCTTAAAAAAGAAGGGGGTGACTTGTCTGAAATGTCATGTTATAGAATCCAAAATACCAATTTTTTTAGATTTTTTTCCTCAAAGTATCATTTTAGATTCACCCCACAGGAATCACTTTATATATTCTAGTGTTCTGCATAGATAAGATGGGGAGGGGGATAAAGATAAGTGTAGCACATCAACCAACTACTCAAATGTTCTTTCAGCCAATCTTCCTGGCTAGCCACACTTCTTCACTGCTAGAGGCATCTTTTTCTGAAATTTTTTAGATGACTACATCAAAACCAGATATGCCTCAACTTTTTGATACAGCCACCTTAGGAACTGTCAGGTTGACTATTCTGCTGCTAAGTACCCTATTTTTTAGCTTCTGAAAATTTTGTTGCTATCAACTCTCACAATTCTCTTTATCCCTACACATTTTGCTATCATTTAAATATAGCATTAGAGGGAGTAAAGGATAAATGTGATCAGCCTGCTACCTTTTCCAACATTTCTAAGTAACAAGGTGTTAACAGTTAAGAGACTCTAAGTCATGTTTTAGATTTAATTCATTCTATCTCCTTTGAATTTAGTTCTTAGTTGTCTCTTATTGATTCTCACTTTTAGTAGGTAACTTGACCTGTTTAACAAGTATATTTAACCTGGAATTTCCAAATTCTCTCCTTTCTTCCTCACAATTTCATTGTATCTTGTCCTGTCCTTTCAGACCTTCTGTGCTCTTACTATCATCACTTGGGCCTCTTTTGCACCCTTCTCCATTTGGGCAGATGATCTAAATCCCTTCATTTTCAGTTTCTCTTAGCCTGTCTACTGCTTATTTATAAATCAACTGTTTCTTAACTTAAATAAAAAATGAATATCTGTAGCCAATTAAGCTATCTTCTTTTTTTTTCATGTGGTTCCTGTGTGCTGTGCCTGCAAACAATAGCCTGCTTGGTTATATTTTCATCCTGTTAATGTATTGGTTGCCCTCAACCCTTTCTTCTGGATATACATGACTGATCTCATGCCCTTCCCAATCATAAGCTCCAGACAATGTTTTTGAAAGTTCCAGGTGCACTAACCAGGGTCCACATTAGCCATGTCATCATACCCATGCACACCAAGCTTCAGAAAGAACAAGCAGCATATGATTGAAACCCCATGGAGGGCCAAGTTAAAGTTCCTTGGCTACCAGGAAATCCACATCTCCAAGAAGTGAGGCTTTCCCAAGTTTTAATGTAGAGATGAATTTGAAGATTTGGTGGCCAAAAAGCAGTCTATCCCAGATGGAGTCAAATACCTCCATTTGTGTGCCCTGAATTTATGACAGACTCAGAGCTGCCTGCTCATTTAGTCATACCCACCAGTAAATCCTACTTCCTGCCTCCCTTTCCCTCAAAAATGAGTAAAACTGGGCCCTCCCTGGTGGCGCAGCGGGTTAAAGCACAGCACTAAGAAGCTTAAGCCACTTCCGCATGAGTTCGGTTTCCGCCTGTCCCAGAGGAGATCCACATGGCGAAGCAGACCGTTGTTCCCCTCAGCAGCGTACTTCATTGATCTGCCTGTTCTGCTCCCCTCTCTGTCTCTGGTGAATCCTGTCACCCTCCGCATCTCTGGCCTGTACCCCAGTTCTATATGAATAAATAAATAAATCTTTAAAACAACTTTCTTTAATACTTAAGCTTCACTCCTAAATTTCTTACTCTTTTAGTAGACCCATAAAAAATTCTTCACATCATATTTTTAAAAGATTTATTTATTTATGCATACAAGAGCTGGAATGCTGGGCATAAGAGGATTCATCAGAGACAGAATGGGGAGCAGAACAGGCAGATTTACTGAAATATACTGCTGAGGGGAGCAGTGGAGAGATAGGAGAGGTCTGCTGCACCATATGGGTCAGCTCGCTGGCTGGGAATCAAACTTGTGCAGCAGTGGCTGAGGATAGCTTCATAGTGCCTAGACTTAAGCCCTTGCACCCCCAGGGAAGTGCCCACATCAATTTTTTTTACCTTCTTTTTTCCTATAACTCTGTTCCCCTTAAAGTTATCTGAACATTTTTGAAAATTAACTTTGAAACAAAAATGCCAATACCCTTCTCAGTCACAGCCTATTTAACTACCTACATTCCAATGAAACTCCCTCATCTGATTTTTTTTCTTCTAATTCTTGTCTTGTTCTTACTTCACTTCTCTGTTTGTTTTTTTCCTCTTGTACTTCTTCCTCATGCCCCTTATGTATGAGCTTTTATTTCTGTGAGCTCTTTAGAGAACAAAACAATTAATTAAAAGTTTATAGACTCTGGCCCTCCCTGGTGGCGCAGGGGGTTAAAGCACAGCACTAAGAGGCTTAAGCCACTTCCGCATGAGTTTGATAGCCTGCTCCAGACCTGACCAGAGGAGATCCACCTGGCGAGGCAGACCCCACCTGGCCCACCCGCTGCTCCCCTAAGCAGTACTTTGATCATCTGCCTGTTCTGCTCCCCACTCTGGTGAATCCTCTCACCCTCCACATCTCTGACCTGTACCCCAGTTCTGTATTAATAAATAAATCTTTAAAAAAAAAAAAGTTTATAGAATCATTGATTTTTAAAAAATTCTTTTTGTCTTTTTTAATGAAATAAACAGTTTTATGGCATTAATTAGGTTTAACTTTTAACATTTAGGCAGGTGCTGTAAAAGATTATATTAAGATGATGCTTCAGAACGATTCACTTAAATTTCTGGTTTTTGCTCACCATTTAAACATGCTCCAAGCTTGCACAGAAGCAGTCATAGAAAACAAGGTATGTTACTACTTATCTATAAAATACTTTTGGGCATTCATATTTGTAATACTACAGTTGAGCTTTGTTGATTGTTTCTAAGCTGTCATCAGATATTTTTTTCTTTCAAATTATATTACTATTCTGATAATAAATTTTCTCTTTAATACCTGTCTTATAATTTCTCACTGATAACATTTCCTGGATTGATTAAAATAATGCTGCCTTAAATTTCATTTTTGTTATTGCATATACTATTTAGATTGAATCAGGCAGTTAAAATTTTTGTTTACCCTCCAAGAGGGCCATCAAACATGGTGGTGTGTACGGAAAGTAAGAATGAAGTCAGCCAATTTTAGTGTGCAGCTGTAATCATACCTTTTAAACTTCCAGGTAGCATACTCTAGAGTAAATTATAGTGTTAAAGTTTAGTGTAAGTAAATTTGAAACATAAGGCCCAGATAAGTGCCAGCAAACCTGCTGACTTTATTGCATTGTCTTAAATTCACTTTGTTCCCTAACAATCTCATCAAAATTTAAACTTTCTCTCTATGTATGCTCAGGGCTTCTACAGAGGCTCAGAAGCAGCCAGAAGACATTTCCTTACAAATTGTATGAACTCAATATACATGTACTAAGATAACCACTTATCTTTGTAAGACCTTTAAATAGAAAAATAAATCCATATTTTTTCAATACTTGCTATAAATTTTTCAACAGTTAGAAAATATGTTCATTAATATTAACCAAAGAAGGAATTTAAAAGGCTTATAAGATAATAAAATCTGAAGTGCTATATATTAAATGGTACGTCCTCCTCAATTGTCATCAGTTTGTGGTAAAATTTTTTTTCTGAGTAGAAGATAATTTTTAAATGGTTGGGCAATAAAATTATATTTATAATGTTTTCTGTTATGATCCATTATACCTTACAAGCACTAGAATCTATTCAAAAAGTAATTTTCCCAAGTCTACTTTACTGATTTGTTTAGAATCCCATTTTGCATCATAATGAATTAAAAATGTAGGTAGTTTTATTTTTCTGTATTCACCATGTAAGTGACACCATTTGGTATTTGTCTTTCTACTTCTAACTATTTTATTTAGCATAATCCCCTCCACTTCCATCCACATTGTACAATTTTGTTAACCAATCTTACCACAAAAGAGAAAAAAAGCATTGAGTAGTGAATCCCGCCCACAACCCCAGTCTATATAGTAGTAGAGATGGAGATGACTTTCTCCCTAACACTCTCTAGCCTGACAATGTATTTTCTTTAGAAAGGCTGTCATGTTTTGCAATATTAGTTATTGAATATTAAATGAATCACTGGTCAATTTTTATCTGTTTTGTAAAGGCATAGAATGTTATTAAGGTATACTAATTTAATAATAGCTTATAAAAGGGAATATCCATTTATCTCAACTATTTGAGGCTTTTTTCCCTCCATAAAAGTAAATGCAAAAATGAGACTATTTAGAATTCAGGACTTATTCTTGTTTTTACAAAATTGAGAAAAGAGTTCTATTTTTTAGCTATTATAGCTATTTTTTTAGCTAGAATAGTTAGCTATTCTAACAGTGATTACTCCCTTTTCTTTTCTTAAATTGTTCTTAAAAGATAAAACTGTTCAGGTTAGCACTTGCCAAAATATTGGTTCCTCACTCTGTGGAGCTGACCCTATCACAAGTTTGTTTTCAATTGGGTGATGTGAATAAACAGAACTCAGATGGGACAGTAAATATATATATATATATATATCTTTTATTATTTGGGATAGTTCAGAAATAAACTCACTACTCTTTTTTTTTTTTAAAGACATAATTATTTATGCATACATAACTGGGGTATGGGCCAGGGCAGTGAATGGATACATCAGAAACAGAGTGGGAAGCAGAACAGGCTGACTCATGAAGTACACTGCTGAGGGGAGCAGCTGGCAGGTCAGAAGAGGTCTGACAGACCATGTGGATCACCTCCAGGGCCAGGGATTAAATTTGCACTGAAGTGGCTGCAGCTAACTTGCAGTGCTGGGCTTTAACCTGCTGTGCCACGAGGGAGGACCCACACACACTACTTTTAATGAATCCCTCATAGTTTCAATGGATATAATCCTCTTTTTACTTTGTACTCACGTCTGACTTTATTTTTACTTTGGAATTAGTGATCTTCTAACTGCAAGTTAGTCTGATCCAGACTAACTTAAAGTTTGTATATCTATAGAGAATTCTATAGAAGACAGCATTAGCTTAATTCATTAACCTCTTGTTCTATCAGTGATTGGCATTGATGTAGAATGATGCATTAGGCATAATTCCTACCCTCAAGTAGCTTAAAAGATTAAAAAATATGAAATTGCTATGATATTAATAAATTTGTTTGAGTCTTCTTTTGTAATGTTTACCAGTCTGTCCCCTTAACCAATTCCTGTTTTGTTATGTGGACATAAACTGTAAACTAGATTAAATGAAATGGATGCCAAGGGACTTATCCTAATTTTGCAATTTCTCTTGTTGATTCTAGACTCGTTACATTAGGATAGATGGAAGTGTTCCATCTTCAGAAAGAATAAATCTCGTTAATCAGTTTCAAAAGGACCCTGATACTCGTGTGGCTATCCTAAGCATTCAGGCTGCTGGTCAGGTAAGAAATTTCAGACCTACATTTGATAAACATTTTTTAGGTAGTAAAATGGTCATTAATTATACTTATAGTTTATATATATCTACATGCATATAATTATAACTTTATATCCACCATCTGGTATAGTAACTATTCATTCTACTTTATATACAAGTATAAGATAAAGTATACACAGAATAATAGAAAAGAAACTTTAACAACTTGGATTCAGATCTTCCTAAATTGTCAAGGAAAGATTTTTCTGGAAAAGTACAGTTAAATTGTTTGTGATCCATTTTTGTCACCTGTATTCCTTCCTTTGAATTTGTATAAAATTTTCTCATGCTGTTCTTAAAGCACTTACCTTATATAAGAGACTATAAGGCAAAGTGTCCTAGAGGAATAGAACTCTACTATCTCAGAAATTTTCATAGAGGTAGCCTGGTTTGTCTCTTAAGATTAGGTTTGTCTACAGGTGAATGAAAATCCAAGTTAAGAATAACTTAAATATATAAAAACTTATTTTGTCAAATAGACAGCCCAAAGCTAGCATGGTGCTTCCACAAAACCCTGAGGGCTTGACTGCTTTTGACTTTCTGCTTCACCATTTGGGTTGCTGGAACTCCTATGTATCTGCAATTTAGACAGCTAACGGAGAAGACATGCTGTATCTCATTGTTCTCAAGTTAGTCAGATGGCCACCACTAATTTCAAGTCAAGCTGGGGAAAGTAGCCTTTATTCCAGATAATCAACCTTAAAACCATGCAAAAGAATAAGAGAAAAATCAACATTAGGGCAGGAAAGCATACTATGATAGAGGGGGTCCTTCTGGACTTTTTTCTACTAATATTCAAAAGTATTTTCATTTTAATATCTAAAACCAAATATTTAATATGGGGGGAAGCTTTTGACCATGTTGATGTGTGTCTGACATGGTAGATGTCAGATCTGGCATCTTTGTGGCTTCTGGTTTTAGGAGAGAGCCAATGAGATGCGTTGTTTATAAAAAGAAACTATGAGAATGAAGAAGTTCTAGAGCACACTACGAGTTTAGCCCAAAAGAGGCTTGTCACAACACTTCATTTTGTATCAAACTTGGAGTAATCTGAGTTTTATAGCTACTAGAGAGTATCAAGAAGAGCTTAAAATTAGAAAAGGAGTATGCATAGCATAGAAGAACAGTAGGAGAAGCCATGCAGGAGAGTTTGTAAATGACCTGACAAAAGACTTGGTAAGATTAAGAATGTATAGACCTTCAAGTTTTATTCAAGGTAGTATTTCTCAATACCTTAGATATTTCAAAACTCATCTACTTAAAAATAGTGTCTTCCTTGCACCCCCATATTTATTGCTGCTCAATTTATAATAGGCAAGACATTCAATCAACCCAAATGCCCAAGTAGATGACTGGATTAAAAAGATGTGGTATATATACACAATGGAATATTACTCAGTGTGCAAACATTCCTTTTGCAGCAAAATGGATGGAGCTGGAAGGAATCATGCTTGGTGAAATGAGGCAGAAAGAAAAAGAAAAATACCAGATGGTTTCACTAATAGCAGGGGCATAGGGGACCCAGAGGGGGAAAAAGCAATTGTAATAAAGAAAAAAACGAAAAACAATGAACAACTATATACCACGGGATGGAGAGGAGAATGGATCAAAAATGGGGTGGGAAAGGTGCACAGGACTATGGTGATGGCACATGGGTCAATTGGTGGTAGGAAGTCCACAGGGATTAGAACTATGGAACAAGGCACAAAATGAAAAATGATGTAAAAATAAATTTCAAAAGAAAATAAAAATGTCCTCATAGGAACAAATGGAAGTGAAAGAATTTGGTCCTAGGAAGTTGTAACTCTCCCAGACTAGGTTAATAGTGCCTTAGAGTGACACTGATTTTTGCCAGCATATTTTCCCCTTTATTCTTGCATGACCACTTGATGCTTTCTTTAAATACTATTTTTTCAGCCTTATCTCTAATATTTTGAGGTGTTTTACTCTTCTAAATAGCAACAAAATTTAGTTCCCTCCATCTTTTTGTTACTTCCATTTTCTAGTCTAAAACAATTGATCTTCAATCATGTTCTAACTTGAGAACTAATGCCATAGTTTTATGGGTGTTTGCATGATGCTGTTATGTGATATAAACATAGCTTAAGTTAAAATAATATCAGAATTACAGCACAGGAGTCACAAAAAGTCACTCACAGTAGTTCCAGTGCATGCAAACAATAAATAGCCTACATTAGATGATACTCCGAAATGGTGGATGGTAGATGTTTCTGTTTACTACTTAACACAATTTACTACTATGTGGCGGTAGCATATTTTACTCAGTCTACCAACTTTGAAATTATCCATTTTTTTAGTTTGAGAGGATTTGGATTATTTCATTTATTGATTCTAAGGCAAGACTTAGTTAATACTTGAAATTGATACACCATTTCAAACTGATATGAATACAACTGCACAAAAAATGTATTTTTGCTGTATATTGAGATATAAAGCAGTAAATTGCAGGGTCTTTGATATGTAACTTGGGAAGTTTCATAGGAAGTATATGACTAGAGACATGATTTTCTTGCTTTATAGACAAGCTGTATGAATTAAGTGAATAGAGAATGGCATTGCTCTCTAGTTGCTATGGATACCATGTGTTAAAAATTATATTCTCATTTATAATGTATTTTATTGGATTTCCAATGGTAATATGAATTCTGTTTTCATCAAGCATAAAGTGACTTTGCTTATGTGTGTGTGTGTATACACACACACACACACACACACATATACATCAAAATGACTTGAATTGAAACACCTTTTAAATGTGTTATTTGTAGTTCCCCTGGCTATCTTGTTGTAAGCAGTCTTCATTTGCCTTTCATAAATCAAATTTTCTTAATTTGCCTTAAAATGAAAGACTTATTTGTCCCCAACTCCTTCAGCATTCTGTGATCCATTTAACATGATCAGAGATACTTTGTTCTATATGGCTGAGTGTTATATTCTGAGTTTATTTGCTTCTCAGTTTCCTCACTTTATTTTGCTTAGGGCTTGACATTTACTGCTGCAACTCATGTTGTATTTGCTGAGTTGTATTGGGACCCTGGACATCTAAAACAAGCAGAAGACCGTGCTCATCGAATTGGACAGTGCAATTCTGTGAATATTCACTACCTTATTGCAAATGGGACTCTAGACACTCTTATGTGGGGAATGTTGAATCGCAAGGTAAAACTTGAATTTAAAACATGTTACCAGCTTGCTCACTATGATCACATCCTGTATGAGTTAAGAGGCTGAATTTTAAGCCAACGATATTGATGCTAATACAAGCAAGTTCACTTGGTAGTACCTTACCTGCAAGCTTCTGTAATAAGACAGTTTTGAAGTTACATGTATTCTTATTACGTTCCAATACCTTCTACTATTTTAGAGCCTAAAGAGGGAATGTTGGATAGCAAAGAACTATAATATATTCAACCCCAAGTCTCTTTTGTAAGTAAAGAATAACCCCTTGGTAGAAGGATTCTTTAAATCCCAGCTAATTTTGCACATTAACAGCTTGTACACAGATTCTAGAAAAGATAGAGGGAATATTACTTTTCTGTCCCTTCAGCTGTCTCTTTTCACTAATGTTAAGAGACATGTATAGAAAGGACTGGGTAAGGACTGAATATTTTTTAAGCACTGAGCATAGATACTAAAAAAAGTTAATCATGTGTAGGTTCAGTTTCCAAGTCTATAAATATTATAATACAAGTTTTTGTGAGAAAAGAAAATAGTGTAATTTTTCTGGTTAAACTTTTACCTCATTTAAAATAGAAATCATTGATTTGGGGCTGTAATTTTAAGTATTTACATTACTGAAGCTCATGGTATGTTGAAACAATAAGATTTTGTGTAGTTGTTGCTAGAGATTTAAATGTAAAATCAAGTTACTGCCTAGTAGAAGTCAGCAGGGAGGTAAGCCATTATAAAATCATATGCTTTTCCATTTTACAGACTCAGATTACAGGGAGCACATTGAATGGTAGGAAGGAAAAACTTCAGGCTGAGGAAGGTGATAAGGAAAAATGGGACTTCCTGCAGTTTGCAGAAGCCTGGACTCCAACTGGAAGTTCTGAAGAGCTCAGGAATGAAATTTTGTTTACTCATGTAAGAATACATTACTTTCTTTTCTATTTTTCTAAACTAACATAATTATCTATTGTCTTAAAATAGCAACTTTCAATTATGCATACTATATAGAACTTTCACAAAAACTGGAAAGCCTCTCAGAACCAAAAGGTAAAATTGATAAAAGGAGGCTACTGCCACAGTCTATGTCTTTTAACAGTTTTGTATCAGGACTCACTGTTCTGCTCCTCACAAAAACGAGCTCAAATACTGCAGCCTTCAGAAGAATACAGGAAACTCGCTGGTATAGGAGGGTGGGGAAAGATGTATTAAGGTTATTACAAAATGAAACAAACATAAATGCAAAAGTTGGTACTTGTATTACAATGTCCAAATTATAAAAATTATGTACAGAATTCCATTAGTAAAACACAAACAAGCCTATAGAAAATAGGCAAATAATGTGAGCATCAGAGAAGACTTAAATACCCAATAAACTGAGTAAGAAATAATATAGTAGAGGCCCTCCCTGGTGGCGCAAGGGGTTAAAATGCAGCACTGTGAAGCTATCTGCAACCACTGCAGCACCAGTTCCATCCCCAGCCAGGGCAGATTTCTCCTGTCTCACCTACTGCTCCCCTCAGCAGTGTATTTCAGTCTGCCTGTTCTGCTCCCCACTCTGCCTCTGGTGAATCCTCTCACCCCCCCTTCTCTGGCCTGTACCCCAGTTCTTGAATGCATTAATAAAGAAATATTTAAAATGAAAGACTATATTAGAGACACTTACAGTCTTTCAAACTGTAGTTTCCTAAGTCTTTTGGCAAGTGTGGTGTGTTTTGAAGAGTTTCATTTTAATATTTTGAAAGGGTTGATAGAAAACAGAATTAAAATTAAGTTGTATACATTCTCTTATAGTGCAAAATTAATACTTGAATGTAAAGTTTTGTTTCATTCAAACAATATTTTTATATGAAATCTTATATTTGTATCTATAAAAACCAATAGATTTGGTTATTTTAAAATTATATAACTAAAACAGTGATTTGTAGCTATTCTTTATCCCTCACTGAATTCATTTCTAAAATAATTTAAGAATTTGAAACACATTTTCCCATGTTTATTATTTTTATGTCTAGCTGAAAAAATAAATCCGTCTGTCACCCTCACATATCTATTTCCCTGCTTTATTTTTTTAATTATTTATTTATGTATACAGTAACTGAGGAGTAGGCCAGGTGTTTGGGGGGGTGGGGTAAAAGGATTCACCAGACACTGAGAGTAGGGAGCAGAACAGGTAAATCCACTGAAGTACACTGCTAAAGGGGACAGCAAGAGAGACAAGAGAGGTCTCCTGTGCCAGTTGGTTAGCTCCCTGGCCTGGGGATAGAACTCATGCAGCAGTTACTGGCAATAGCTTAACAGTGCTATTTTTAACTCCTGTGTCACCAGGGAGTCGCTGCTTCCCTGATTTAGATATTTATCTTTTATGGTTTAGTGTTTCCTCACACAGATTTTTCAGTGCACATACTGATAAACACAAGGTTTTATACAAATTGGAATCTTACAGTGTTGACACTTTTAAAAATTCACTTTGCTTGTATATTTTTTGTTTATTGGCCAGCAAATGACACATACTTTAAATAACTTTAGATGGTTGTGTTTCCCATCACTTTGTCCTTATACCTTTCAGCTAGCTTTGTGAATTTTAAGAAATGTTTGATTATTTTTAAGGTCCTAAGGAAATCTAGTCCACATATTTTTCTTTTGAAAGTTATTAAATCTCAGCATATTCTATGGGAACTTTCCTATTAATACTGATTTACTTTTGAATCTTTACAAGATTTTTTATAAAAAGATCCTGGATTTAACATTAGTCTCTTCTATTTCCAATTTTGTCTATTAAACTTTGCCAAATAATTCAAATTTGCTAATTGTCTAAAAAAATCTTGTTTAATAAAAAGTTCATAACAGTTCAAACTGGCTGATTTAACAAGCTGTGAATATTTTTATAGCTGGAAGATAGAACTGGGGCAGAGAAGAAGGACCTTTCACTGTATGGAGGATTATGGAGAGAGATAGAGGGAAACAAGGCTGTGAAGCTCAAAAAGGAGGGTCCTTTGCAGCAGGGAGTGAGCCTGAGGGCAAAAGGAAGATAATATGAGAGTAGGAAGAGACTCAGGAAGCCCAAATGCCAGGACTTCCAGCTCCCCTTGTCTCACTAACCTGCCAGTCCATCATGTTAAAAATGCTGTGAACTCTGTTACTTTTACAAAACAGTAAGTCTTGTACATTTGGCAAATTGGTCTTACATGAGCTGGGTTTCAGGAGAATTGGCTGTTAGTATATCAGTCTTTGGCAAATAAACTTTCTGTACATTGACCTATAGCCTAATATTAGTGTCAGTGTGAGTTAGGGAACAAGGAGACTTTTGGTGAGGAAGACAAAGAAGAGAAGAATGAGAAGAAATATTCCTGGACAGAAATTTTTATTAGTTTTGGCATCTCCTCCCTTCTTTCTGCTCTGGTGTTCATAGCTCTTCAGAATAGCATTATTCTCAGTCTCCCTTCTCTCTTAATAAGATTCTCTGTCACATGATTCAGTTCATTATTGAAATTTTAAAAAAATATATCTTCTTTGTACTCTCTCAGCCCACTACTAGAATCTTCTGAAACTTGCCACAATCTCATATAACATGGAATCTCTGGGACTTTCTTTTAACCTAAATCTGGTGAAACTATTGTTAGATATTTGAATAAGACCCACATGCAATTAATCTACACAAATGAGTGAGTCATCATTCTTTAGCAACTCTAAATATACTTCCATGTTTTGAAAGAATTACTTAATAACACAAATGAAAACTCAAGTCCAACTCAAATGAAAGGAAAAAATTCCACCACCTCAAGTAAAAATACCTTTGCATAGCCCAGTTGGCTTCTCTTATGTAACCAGTTCTGCCTGGGAGTCTGCTACCAGGTCACTGCCTCAATGCCAACTAGTTTCTTAAGCTTCTTCCCTTTTTTTCTGAATGTACGTGACATCTAAGTACTGTTTTGGTTTTGAGGTATTTTAATTTCCTCCAGTGACTCCCATTGAGTGATAAAGTAGGTTGTCTCCAGATGCAAGGGAAGCTATGACCTCTCTTAATCTATGTTGTCATTTCCAAGGGATAAAAGACTGGATGGAGTATTCATACCACCCTTTTCTCTCTGATTTTTATTTTTACTGCCATTATCTAAGAGGCATCTTTTCAGTTAACTCTATCTGTGGGAAACATGGACCTATCCCTTAACCTCTCAAAGACCCTTTCCTATTTCCTTTTGACCCTTAATGGGTAATTGGCATCATCTCTCAGCTAGCCATGTAGGTCACTAGAAGACAAGATGGATTTCTAATTTTATTTCATTCATCATATATAAATTATAAAATATCCAAAGAGAAATTTGTTGCATAAGTGGTACATATATGAGCAAAAGAAAAGACTAGTTCCTGAGTCTAGTTCCCACAAGTTTATCTTCTTAATTTTTTTTAAAGATTTATTTATTTATTCATATGGAACTGGGATACAGGCCAGGGATGTGGAGGGTGAGAGAATTCACCAGAGACAGAGAGGGGAGCAGAACAGGCAGATCGACGAAGTACAGTGCTGAGGGGAGCAGTGGGCGGGCCAGGAGAGGTCTGCCTCGCCCAGTGGATCTCCTCCCTGGCAGGCGGGGATCGAACTCATGTGGAAGTGAGTTTTTAGCTTCTCGGTGCTGTGCTTTAACCCTCTGCGCCACCAGGGAGGGCCAATCTTCTTAATTTTTTTTCCTACAGATCTCGGTAAATCAGAGTTGCTTCCATTTTGTTAATTCATACAATAATTCTCTTTTTATTTTTTGTTGTTTGTTTAAGATTTCTGTGTAATCCCTAAGTTCAGCCACACTGAGTCTCTGCTTTCCCTCACAAGTTGTTTTATTTGTTGTGTGCTCTTATGTCACTATCTTCCAGTTTATTTCTCTCCTTGTTAGCGTCTCCCTGGTTGCCTAACCTTCCTTCCCATGCACCTCAGGACTGGCGTCTTCAACCCGGCTCACATAGCGTCCTTTTCTCTATAATAACCATCCTCAAGTCCCCTTATCTGCTGTCCTTAGGACCTTCTAGAGCATCCTTCACTCAAAGCAAATTTACATTTCAAACACCCACATTAAAAATAGATTGGATGGTTTCTGGTCTGCTGCAAAAAATTATATATAGTAGGAAAGGAAAGCTCTTCACAACTATGTAATTTTAAAGTATAGCCTTAAAATTCAAGAACAGCTTTTCCCATTTATCTTAAATATGAACATTGTATGAAAGGTTTGTTTTGTTGCCCGCCAAGAAGTGGAAATAAAAAACTGTGTCATGCATATATAAATTAGTCCTAAGGCTATTTATCACTATATAGATTTCCAGATGTTATTTGGGGTACTGAACTCCTAATAGTGATACTGATAATGTAGAGGAAAAGAGAATGCCAGACCTTTTTGAAGTAAAATCAGCAAAGTGAAGCCTGGGTAGAGTGCTGTTTAATAACATGTGCAGAAAGAGCACAGGGGTTTGAAGACGTTTTAGGGGAATTCCACGACTCAGGGCAGGCAAGTACATGAAGAAGGACAAATTGAAGCCACAAAAATAATACAGCTTAGTCTTCAGCTGGAAGTTCTATATCAGAGGACTTTACAGTTAATTTAGTAAGCAGTGAAAATAGAAATCTTGTGGTAGGAAGGAGTTGATTTAATGACAGAAGCAAACAGTTTATTCAAGAAGCCTTGAGTTTTACTAGTGTCTAATCCTCTCAGCTGGTGTCCAGGAAATATATGGAAGTCAAGCCTGATAGTTGAGAGTACAAAAGTGCTGATTAACTTACCTCTCCATGCCCCATTCTAACAATATGCCCCATTCTAACAACCTATGCACTGTATTATATAATACATTGCTATAAACCCTAATTGTCCTTGTTGAAGGAGAGAACTTGTTCCAAAGACATTTGCCTACATTGCTTTTGACGTCATCTTTAA